AAATACTTTTTCATCATGAAATTCAAGCCTGTCTTCCTTAAGGTCAAAACAGTCAGTTGTCCAAGGAATTCTGGCCAAGAATACTCTGGAAAATAAAAGACACTCCAGCAATTAACTTCTTCAAGAAGGAGTTGTAGCCTTTTGGTTTTGAATAACCAAATAAATTCAGATCTGGCGAAGATGGTGCCTTTGCCAAACTCTTGCAGAAGAGCAGAGTGTGACACTGGAAGCAACAGAAAGAAGGCTGCCTACGGTGCCACAGCAGTGGCAGCCCATGGTGCCACTAATTCTAGGGCCTTAAGAGAAGTGTGGAGTTGTGGTCACTGTGTGGGAAGAGTCACGTCATTTTATGTTAACGTAAAGCCTTCAGTGTGATTTTTGGGCTTGGTTAAAGTACAATAAAAAGCAGTTATTGTAGGCTGCTGAATTCTGCTGTAAAACCTGTTTATGCATCTGGGTTTTTTTCAGTTTTGATCGCATCCATTAGGGCTTCAACATAAATAATTGTAAGCATGCTAGCAGCTGGACTTACTGGAGAAACTCTTGATGTGCTTCTCCTGGAATTCATTTTCCCCTTTTGTTCTGTATAACAACATTATCACAAGCAAACATGTGCTGGGTGTTACTGTTTGCAGCAAACCATGCAGTTTCTTCTGGTTTTCCTGTCCACCCTTCTTCAGAAAGTATTTTCCATAGAGCCTTTCACATAAAATGAAAAGCTGCCACCTCTCAGATAATTCTGAAAGTAAAGGGATGTTTATTATATATATCTGAGAAAATTCTGCAAATACATAAATTTGTCTGTCAAACATGTTTCTTTAATCTGTATCATCATTCACCCTATGAACAAGTGGATAGATTTAAATCTCTTAATGGCTGGGAACACATTACAAATTTATCAACGTAAGGAGCGGACCTCCACAGTCTGTGGGCACAGCTGAACATATACAAAGTATCTGGCAGGTAGTAGTGTCTAAGATAATGGGAACTCATCTGGTAATAACAGCAACATGCCTAAGGTAATAGGAATGCTAGGTCTACCCAGGCTTGGATTACTGGCTTACCAAGAGCAGATGGAAACAAAGTCCTACTTTTCCTTGCTGTTAGCTGTAAATTCCAAGTAACTAAAATGAATCATCTTTCATCTCGTTAGAAACAAAATACGTAATTTGTGCTTCTTGATTTGCAATGAGAAAGTGAATATTTACAGTTAGGTGTTGAGATGCATACTCAATGATAAGATCAATCATGACAGTAGGCCTAAATGTAGATAATTGAGAGATGGTTGTGTCAGTATGCTTGAGCCCACTTGCAAGAATTCGTGTGACAAGGGCTAACATAGTCCCATATGGACATTGTATGGACAAATAGAGTACCTGAAGTCATAAGACGGGGCTTCATTTCACCTGACTTTAGATGACTAGGTCAGATGTAAATCTCATGAGTCTCATCTGACGGAATTTTGTGTCTATTTGGAAACAAATCATGTCTTAAAGTGTCTGTTTCTTCTGCTGACTGTTAAGGAAATCTGGCTGATTAGCTTAGATGTCTACCCTGCAGGCATTTAAAGTTGGGTGAGATAAATCCCACTCTTGGCATGTAGAAGAGTTGTTTTGGTTTTTTTGGTTTTTTTTTTTAAAGATCCTTTAGATCCTAGTTGACAACAGAATATTCTAGCCCTATGCTAATTCTCTGCTGTGGTAGGCAACTACAGACTTTTTAAATTTTTTTTTTTTTTTTTTTCCTTTTGATAAGAAAGCTCAGGGGGAAAGCACAGGCCCATTTAGTCAAACATGTTACCCCTTGGAAGGTTTGAAATTGTAGCTACATCTTTCCCTGCTTTCCTAGACCTGACTGGCTGCTCTAGGATTTTCCCAGACTGCCAAGGCTGCCCTAGGATTTTTGTCCAAGGCTGCTTATGGTTTGGTTTGGGTTTGTTTTTTTTTTGGGGGGTGTTTTATTATTATTATTATTATTATTGTCCTCAGACACAGTGCAGGCATCCACAGATAGTGTCTTGGAACCAGTATCACATATTATAACACGATTCATAGTTGAACATGACAGTGTGGATGTTGCCTGCATATCTGGTGAAGGGGGCAGTTTCTGCTGAAGAATTCGCTTGATCGGTTAGGAAGTAATGCTTTCCAAGCATTCTAGATAATGTAAGTCTAGTGGAGGTTCTGATTCGAAAGGCTATACCTTGCCCTTGAGAAATGCAGGAATGGTATTTTAGTTCTAAATCTTCTGGTAGTAATACTGCTTGCTAAAGCAATTGTATAAACTTTCACATCACTATGCTGTGATTCATTAAAGCCAGTCTTCCTTCTTGTTAGCTGATTAGACTCACCTGTAGAGAGATGAGACAGCTGGATGAATTAATCTTATGTTCCCCCAGAAATGTGTTGAATGAAAAGCCAAAGCTGTGGATGGCATCACATCCTATCTGTCTGCCTGTTCTAGGATTAATTACTGGGGTTAGCCTGAGTCAATCAGTTTGGAAGCATTGTTACTTCTGCAGCAGACTTGCAGTGCAAAATACTTGTGAAACAGCTGTGCTAACTCCAGTATTAACTTATTTGGCATGTAGCTCCTCTTCTTATTTGACATGTAGTTCGTGGAATAGGAGTAATGCCTGTGGATCTCAGTGTTTGCAAATACCAAGTCTTGCAAAACACTACGTTGTAGGAAAAGTAATCTTTCCAGCTGAGGAACTAAAATGAAAGGTCACTTCTTTGTAAGCTTATAAAAGGAAATTAGTGCAGAAGCATTTTGCAGACTTCAGTTTTAAAGCTTTGAGGTGATGACAGTAACTTTCTGTAAGTGGAAACAGTACAGTCTCACTGTCCAGTACAACAGATTCTTTGACTAAGAAACTAGTTGGCTAGCTTTATAGCATGGTGTTAAGATTTTTCTGTGAAAGTATGTATTAGATTCTTTTATGATTGCAGTACATCTTAAAATGAGCATGTGATGTTTTTCAACAACAGGCTTAGGTGCATGCTGTGAGGGAATATAGAGGAGGATGTCTAATCCAGTTTTTTTCCAATACAGGCAGCTCATTTAGTTTAAAACTATGTGGACTGTTTAACAGCACAGCTCTTTTCTGGCTCCATTGTAAAGGTTTTGGAGATGCCTATTATCAGAGTAAAATATCTTAAAATAACACCACCCCAACATTGCAAAATCACACAAGGGATAATTCTTCTAACAAAACCTAATTGTAGCACATATTCCAGATTTGGGTTTTATTTGTCATGCAGTAGCCTCATTCCAGAATTACACAAGTTAATTTCCCCCTGCTTTTAATCAAACTCTCATGTTTAAACACATTTTTTAAGTTTGTAATTTATACATCTGAGATAGGCTAGACATTCTTCTCAAGCTAGAGACTACAAATGAGAAATTTCAATTAAACTTCTGTTAATGCAGGCTTGAGGGCAGAAGTTGAAAATGAGTGAAGCACGTTGACCTTAATCTGGACTGTGTAATAAATGTAGATTAAATTCTGCCTCTATCAATATTTGTCTTTTGAAATTGGAAGTAGGAAAGGGAGAAAAGTAGAATGATTTCTCATGTCTTCTCATACCCTTCTATTTATATAAATCTAAAGTTGGTTGGAAAAAGAAGAAATGCATAAAATCAAAATGCTGTTTGATAGCTACAGATTCGTGACTAACTTGAATTCTCAAATTTACTGCACTTTTCAGATCCTCAAAAGAAAGATCTTCCAGAGACAAAGAACGTTCAAGAGATCGTGATAGAACATCACGTGATAAAGATAGAAGCTCAAGAGAGAGGTCACCACGAGATTTCAAAGACAAGAAACGTTCTTATGAAAGTGCTAATGGCCGATCGGAAGACCCGAGGAGCTCAGAAGAGCGTGAAGCAGGGGAGATATAACTGGCTGTATATTCACCTGATCTCTAGCTTCCTATGGAGTTGCATACTATGGTTTAGTTTACAGTTGTTCAAAGGGACACCAGTGAGCAGTTCCAGACACTGATCCAACTAGGGTAGATGTACAGTATATAAAAGTGGTTATAACCAAGTCAGAATTAAACCCCATCAATTAATGATGCCTAAAGCTGGGTCCTGGACTTCCACCAAGTTGTAAAACTTTTCTGAAAGATTTCTCTTTATTCAGGACAACAGTTTTATGTACCAAGATGCAGATCTCAATGTTTTTAATCTCCTTTCCAATACAAGTTAGTGAACAAATTCTATTGTACTACTTGCCTTGGGTGCTTTTGAACCTTTATAAATTCTCCAATTCTGCTCCAGTCAAAACAGCAGCATTGAAAGGTTGTATTTTGGGGAATTTTTTTTTGTTGTTTGCTTTTTGTAAGAGGGTGGGTGGATGGATATTAACTTTTACTCTAAGGTTATGTTCCCAGTGATTTTTTTTGTTTGGGAACCTAGGAGTTGATTACAGTGGGAGCATTTAGACAGGATTGTGTGCTGGAGAAAGCGGAAATGTCTTTTTACAGTGCCTATTTAGACTTGGAAATTGAACAGCTGTTGCATTACATCTTTTTTTATTTCTACGTAAATTTTGAAATCGAAGCCAGTCCCATATCTGTACCATTTGATTGGTATGTGTTCAATATATTTGTTTTTTTCCATAAGGACTCTTTCTGCTTTTTCTTGTGGGGTGTAAACAGCACATCCTTAATTGTATTAAAAACAAACAAAAAACCAGCAACAACAGACAAAAATTAAGAACAAAAAAATAAAAAAAAAAATAAAAAAGGAAACCACATTGTCCAATAACTTAACGAGGATATACTGGTCTCTTAAGGTGGTTACCGAGCAGTTCAGTCATTTAAAAACTAACATTTGGTTATTAAGAGTTTCTAATATGCACATGTGCTCTAGGAGAAGCAGTCTTTCTGATGACAATCTTGACTCCTAAGATCTTCAAAGGCAAAACCAGGTAGAATCATAATGATCATGGCACGACCACTAACTCCTTAATGACTTCAATTTCAAAAAGCAGTATTTCATTTAGGTGCAAGCTGCCTTAACATAAGGGGGTTGCTGTCAATTCTGTTGGATTGAAAGTGCTTTAGGGTGTATAAATTATTAAGATGTGCCCTAGCCTCACACAGAAGAATTTAGAGATTGGTAAGTTCTCCTTGAGATAGCACCACTGAGTTACTTAACAGCGATGCTTAAGAGCAGTGTTTGTCATGACTTATTGGCATTTTCAGCAGGTTCTGCAGACTCTCCTCTGTACCTCCCTAGTCCAAGTGCCTCTGTAGGCCCGCTAATTATGGGTGTGTAATATCACTATAAATTCACAGTGTGCATTTTTCCTCGGTGTCTTTTCTGTAGCCTCTTCAGTATGGTCAGAACACATGGGTGATAATTCTAACACGGTAGATAATTCAGCAGTATTTTGGCTGGCAGTGAAAGGTAGAACAGGACCTTTACCTCTCAGCAAGGACTTGTATTCAATGTAGCATATACCCTCCACTTTGAATTCATGTCGTTTTAAGCTCCTAAAGAAATACTGTAATAACGATGGCTAACTACTTAACACTTTTTTTTATTTACCCATTTGAAATCTGAACATGAGTTTCCTCCCTGGGAATGCTTTATGATTTCCTGTGTGGCCCAGCTGCGTGATGAATGTAAGTTACCAGTGTTTGTCCCTCTGTTACGAGCACGCTGTATCAGTGCTTGCTAACATCTGTTGTCACACCTTTGTTAATGGAGTTCTAGTGGTGTGATAAAAGGTGAACAGTCATTTGTCAGTGCATCTTGCACAGCAGAATTGCCAGTGAGTGGATTGCTAACTCCTTTGGAACTCCCTTCTGGAATAAAAATATTCCAGAAATACTGAGGACCTGTCTTCCCCTGCAGCCAGCAACTAGAAAATTTGTATTGTGAAAGTGGGGTGGGGTGGGAATCTGTATACTGTGACAAAACACTGCTTAGACTCCTTACTAGCAAATTCTGGATAATATGCCATTGATTTTACAAATGGCTTCTTTATTAATTGTGCCTGAGTAAGTAAGGATCTTCCACCCTTCCATCAGAACCAAGTTACCTTAATTTCCAGGAGGGTGAAATTGAGGTATTCATCACCTGTGTATTTCCTGCTGGACAGCTGAAGAGTGGTATTGACTGAGATTAGTTTGCATGGTCAAAATCATTATGAAAGGGATCTGGGGGAAATAAATCTCTGTCCATCTCTGCTGCATCATGTGAGGAGAATAGTTTGGTCTTCATTACTTGTGATCTTTAATTTCCCAGTCTTCAGTAAACAGGTCAGCAATAGTTAAATCTGACTTCTGGTCTAGAACCAGATCATAAATACAGTGGCAAGATCATTCAGAAGATCAAGCCACTCAGCCGGCTAACCCAGATCAAATACATCCTACAGACGTGGTGTGTTAGCTTCACGTCACACCAAGTATCAGCTGTCCGCACTGTTCTTATGAATTCCACACTGAGCCTTGTTTGCTCAGCTTTTCTCCCTTTGGTTGCTTGTTCAGCCATTGATTCTTACAAGATTGAGAGCACTGGAGGCAGGGTGCTAGACCTGCAGGAATTCCGTGGGGGATGCTGCTGCGCAGTAATCTGTGTCACGATCTGTACTGCTACTACTTCGCTTAAGAGATCTAGTAGGTCTGCAGGTCCTTGCGAGGGCCTGAGTGCTGAGAGTGCTCGAGGCCATTCCTATTCGAGGAAAATATCTTCCTTGTCCTGCAAGGAGGCTTACTGCAGCCTGGGAAGGGAAGGGAGCTCCTGAGGGGACCTAAGGATGCTGCAGCTGAGCATCTTTTTGAAATTTTGCTGATGTAGTTGTAGCTCCATGGCAATTTTTATCAGACTGCAGGTGTACAAATTGAGCAAAAAATAGTAGATTATTTTATTTAAGTGTTTGAAATGCAGTGAGCCTACAAGCATTACTCCTGTAACTCAGAAAGCTCTCACTCTGGATTAAGTCAGGGGAGCATAAAACAGGAAAATGTTGAGATGGTAAGTGGCTAGAGGATGGCACATTACCAGAAATGAGGGTGTCTCCTGAACATATGTGAGTTGCTTTTCCTGCTGGAGGAACCATACAGTGATGTTTCCAAGCAAAGAGGTGCTTGGCCTCATGCAGCCGTATCACATTACCCACCATCAGACTTGCCAATGAAGCTGGCAGAGGAGGCTGTTCCTATCTGTCCTCTTGCCTTCTGTCAGGTAGTGAATCTGGGATTTATCCTCCTCTTGCTACAGCACAAACCCTAACCCTGGAGCCCATCTGTCTGTCCAATCTATCTTGTACCAGTTTGTGCCTTTCAGGCACCCTCCATCCTGCCCAGGGGCAGCAGGAGAAATACATGAACCAACCCCCCTAAGCCAATGCAAATGGATGATTGTGGTAACCTTAAATAGCCTTGGAGCAGGGATTATCTATTTAGCTGAAGGGAGAATGGTAGCAATCTGTTTTAAGACACCTGGGGCCAATGCAAGACAGCTAAGAGCATGGGAGGGGACATCTAAAGGAACTGGTTTTAGCTATGGGAACTTCAGTATCGCAACAAGAAGCACCTGTGGTGCTGGAGATGACTCCATGAGATGTGTGTGCTGTCTCCTCCCAGGACTGTTAAGGATTCAGGCAGATTGTGGTTGCAGTCAGCATTAAACAAAGGATAAATGCAGAATGAGCTATGTGCCAGAGGTGATGGCAGTATGTAGTGTGTTGTGTAAGGGTCTGAGAACTCCCCTGGTTTACTATTCTCCATCCCACATTTCATAGATTCATAGAATCATTTTGTTTGGAAAAGACCTTTAAGATCATCCAGTCCAACCATTAACCTAACACTACCAAGTCCACCACTAAACCAATTAAGGGTAGAGTAATAATTTCCTGTTTCCTGGCTTGGTGGCTGGATTATTTTTTAATGAAAGTAAAAACTATGAATCATTAAGGTTGGAAAGGACCTTTAAGATCATCAGTCCAACCATCAACCCAATACCACCATGCCCACTAAACCATGTCCCAAAGTACCACATCTACCTGGTTTTTGAACACTTCCAGGGATGGTGACTCCACCACCTCTCTGCTTGACTACCCTTTCTGTGAAGAAATTTTTCCTAATATCCAATCTAAACCTCCCCTGACGCAGCTTGAGCCCATCTCCTCTCATCCTATCACTAACTACTTGGGAGAAGAGACCAACACCCACCTCACTACAGCCTCCTTTCAGGTAGTTGTAGAGAGCAATAAGGTCTCCCCTCAGCCTCCTCCATGCTAAACAACCCCAGTTCCCTCAGCTGCTAGCCAAGCAGGTGCTATCCAAGCACCTCTGTATTCTCCCAGATCTTGCAACAA